GTACATTCAGCGCAACAACAACGATGTCTTGCCTTTGTAAGCACCAGTAGTTGGTCACAGTCGCACTGCCAGCACCAACATCACTGCAGTGTGAGCTTACCACACACTCACACTCACTCCCTCCATCTCACACTCTCTTTGCATACATTCTACATTCCCCCATTTCTTTGCCATGCCCGATTCACCATTTCAACATTGTAGAGTCATTTTCTATATTTTATATTGTTTGCCGTTGAGCTCATTCCATTCATTAATTTTATAAGAAGAACCGTATCGCATAATAAATAATTAATTTAAACGTCGCCGCACCCAACTTTTGTAGTTTCCAAGACATTGCAGGCATGGCCGGTGTGCGAGTGTTCATGCGGTCGATGGAGGGGCGGAGGGGTGGTATGATATTTCGAATTGAAATAAATTAAGATTGCATACATTAATATTGTTTTTATGCAAGTGTGTGTGTGTGTGTGTGTGTGTGTGCGCGCGAAATATGGCGAATGTGGTTTAAGAAGTGTGCGGCGTGTGGCAAGTAAGAATTTGCAACAGAACGCGTTCCGCTGTTGAAACTTCTTGGCAGATCGAATGGCTGATGCACTTGTGCATAATGGAAATGAATGATCAAGTTCAATGAAATTTAATTTTATTTAATTAAAGTGATACTATGTATATAACGGAATGTGAAGTTAAGGCAATATAATATTTATAGTAATGACTTAAATGTAAGGGGGGAAGAAGGAATGAGATTGTGACGCATAAGGAGAAAGCATAATACAGAGCGTAGATTATTGTGTACGAAATCGGTATTTTAGAGCTTGGGCTGCCATCAGGAAGAAAACTTAAGTAAATTATCTTTGGAGATCTTTAGAGAGATTTCATGATTTTTTTAGGACTCAAATTTGCTACAATGTGCTTTTTTTATATTTTCAAACGTATTAATGATGAGCTAATATTTTATTTTTTTGAACTGTGAAATAGAGTTGCCAATTATATATGGTGTATAAACTAACATCAAATGAAAGATTAAAATAAGTAAATAATTGCATATTTTTACAAAATATTTGAATAACAGGGCTGTTATTGCTTACATATTTCATTTTTGTATAGACTTACGAATTCACTCATGGTATGTTAGTAACCTAACACCCGATTAAAGTTCTTTGAACTAGATTAAAAAACGTATTATTCGACGTATTATTCCAGGAAAGTGTTTACCAACTAATCATAAATTTAAAATTACTTAAAGCTCAGTTGAGAGCTTTTGAAGCGATCACTGTAGAAAAGCTTTCTGTTAGTATTTAAATAAATGTTCAAAAAAAGGTTTACCAGCACTTTATAAATTTCAAACCAGCATTTAATTTTACTTAAAGCTCAGCTGAGAGCTTTCGGAAAAAAAGCTTTTTAATGATATCAAAATAAATATTTTAATAAAAAAAATGTGTAAAAGCTATATAATAGATACGTAAAAGAAATAATGCGGAAAATTTATAATATTCTAAAGCTACCCTAAAGCTTTTATCAGTTAAGCATATATTTTAATGAAAAAAGTATGAAAGCTTCATACAAAGCAGAAGTCGAATTCTGAGTTATAATAGTTTCCAAAGGAATATTGTAGAAAATTCATGACAGCAGGGCTTCGTGCAAGCTCAAGTACAATAAGTGCTTAAAGCTTTTATTATTATTTACGCAAATATATTTCAGTAAAAAGTAGAGTAAAGCGGTTTGAAAGTTTAAAACCTAATTTTTTCCTCAACAAATCACATAAGCAGAAACTTTAATTACATTTGCGTGTGTCAGTAACATTGCAGTTAATGAATAAATAGACACTTCAGACAATAATGTATAAGATTTAAGCACATAGATAGGATAGTTTTTATATATTTATTTTCTTGCATAACACAAATGCGCTACACGCTCAGTTTAGCATTGCAAAATAGCGGCCAAGCCGAATGCCGGCTGCAGACCATTATGTGGGCTCCTTTATTTTCTGTGAATAACGGAAGTTTTAACTACTATTAAAATTCACATCCGCTGCCGCAAATCCCATGCAAGCAAGCCATCTTGGCAAGCAAGAAACCAGCAAAGATTACATAAATAGAGAAAAGCAACAACAAGCGCACTTGCAAACGCTAAGCAAGCAAGTCATTCGCGCAGCCGGTGTTAGCGCCTAAAAGCCTGCATTTCCGTTCGGCTAAATGCTTAGCGTTGTGAAAGCCCAGTTAAGCGGCGCAAGTGAACGTTTGCTATACGCTTTCACTATAAAAAACCGAAACGAAGCGAATATAACAAGAATCATTGTTATGCTCACGACTCAATTGTTTCGTGTTTTCGCGTCGTGTATTTGCGGCATTGCTATTTGCTGGGAAATTTATTAATAAACCTGCAACATTTGCATACAGGCAGTGCAGCGAAATGAAAATAATTATAATTCAGCAAAAAAAACAAAAAAAAAAATGCATACTAAAGTGTAGAAAAGGAAATGGCTTAGCAAGGAATCAACTAATTCCTCTTTAAATAAATCGCTATTCTCGCAGGATAAGCCAAAGCAAAATGAGGAAGGCGAGCAAAAAATGCAAAAGCATTGATAGCGAGTCAGTTGGCGCATAAAACCTGTATGCGGCAATGTTGGCGTATTGCATGTGCACACACACACACACCCAGAGGCACATAGATGTAATAGTTTAGTTGCTTTACTACTTTATTACATTGTTGACTGCTTTTTGTGGCGGCAACAAATTGATGTTCGTTTCGTGCCGGCGTTAAATATGCAACGAAATGTCTGCAAAGGAAAGCAATAAACTGCGCTGCATGGCCGGCTGGTGACGCCTCCGCGTGCCTGACCAATGAGGCGGCCATTTTTTCATGCTCGCCGCGCTTTGGAATGCCACATTCGACTTGGTAGTCGATATACCGCGCTTAGTAGAACCGAGCAGCGCTCACTTTTTGCATATGCCTCAATATAATTTTGCGTTTTTTGTTTTGTAATTTCGCCTGCGCGCCGCTGCCTACTCTGAGTTCCTGAGCGCATAAATATAGACAAGTGAAAATATTTATGCTTTTTTGTTGTTGTTTAATTTAAGCATAAACATGATCACGTGCTTGCCATACATATTTTATATGCAAAGAAATTATGTGCGCTTTTTTAAGCCGTAATTGTTACAGGAGTGTGCAAAATGTTAACACACACACCGGCAAATGTGGCATATATTTTTTATGCATTTTTATTTTTCGCCAGGAAGCTGAGAAATTTTGCGTTAAATATTTGAAATTAGGCGTCAAATGTGGAAGCAGCTGTAGCGCGTCTCATTTACAGCGTGTAAACATGCTTAAAATTACTCACACATGCACACATACCCACACTTGTATGTTTAGTATAAAACCCCTGAAATATCCTTGCTTGCCACCAAAGCGCTACGGTACATATTCAAATTCAGCAAGCAGCATATGTTAACACACATACTAGCAAAACTTGCTGGTTTTGTTTGCAAAAATGCCATAAAGTATATGAATAATTGAAATAGAAGTCGGAAACATTTTTATGGCAAGCGCGCGAACGAGTCTAAACAAGCTGCAAACTGCACTTTACAACAGCGAAGTCAGCAAAGGTCGAACACCGTTGAGCAGCTGAGATGCGCGCTATGCCTAGTTGAGTACAGTGTCCGCCACAAACATGGGAACATGTGTATGCTTGTAGTGTTTTGTACAAATGTAAAGCGTAATGTTTGTGTGTCTTTGTTGGGACATGTGTAAACTGCTTGCTGCTTTTGTTTATGGCAGCCGCTTACTAAACAAGATGGCGCTCACACAGCAGCCTGAAAAAATATTGGCTGCATGTGCGCGTGTTGTTGTGGTTTGATTTGCACAGGCAGTTTGCTGTTTTGGTTGTTGTTGTTAAATTAATATGTGGCACTGTAGTAGCCTTGCAATTTTATTTATTATTTAGTTGAGTTGTTTGTTGATGTTTCGTGCAATTTTATAATTTAGAAGTTTCAAAGAATTAAAATTTTAAGTTTTTTTGCATATACAGTATCCTTACACCCAGCAAAAGATGATTAAAGGCTAGTTAAATGAAATAAATATTTTTAATTTATCTTGAAAATATAGAGTTCCAAGCAAATAGCCTCTATAATACCTTAAAAAAAAGTGGATTTTTCGTTAAAAGCATAACTTAAAGGAAAATATGCTGTGGTGATAAGACGGGTGTTAAGAGTTCATGCTTATTCGTGTTCTTGGATTTTGGAACCTGCTCCGAACACTTCACTCAGTTACTGATTCATTAGTAAACTGGAATTCGTTTCACATAGCATAGTACTTTTGAAGGACATGTTATTGATAATGGTCCTCATAGGGAATGACTGAAGGAGATAAATAAGTTATTAACACATTTTTCGCATTTTCATTCATTTTATAATTTCTGGAATTTCACTGAAATACTCATAATTCAGTTCTGCTTCAAGAGAAAGCTTTGCGCTAAGTTCTGCCCTGAAGTCGAAGATAATTCGATTTGAGAGAGTTTAAGTCAGAATATGGTCTCTCCATAGCAAAACTTAACGTTGTATGCTCTTGTCTAGAAACTTGTGCTTTTATAAGTCGAATATAATTTGTTTTGAGAGTTGTTAAGCCACAATATGGTCTCCTGAGACCGCAACAAAACAAAAGTAATATATATAAATAGCTTTGAGCATTTGAGCGGCAAGTGGTAAACTTTTAATTTTAATTTAATGATTAGAACTAAAAATTATATTTTTGGGATTTTGCGAAAGTGCTCAAATATCAATAACTTTAGTATATAAGCACTTCTGAAGTAAAAATTTTACTAACTTACAGAATTTTTGATTATTTGCTCTACATCTTCATAAGTGTGCGAAAATATCAAAAAACGATTAGAAAATATTTATGAAAATAAGATTCTTCATTTATATTATCATTCTTCAAAAATATATCTACCATATAATAAATGTCTAATGAACGAAAGTAACTGAACATATATAATTTTTTTTTTCCAGGCTAAAATGATTGAAAGTGGACATCCTTGGATGGGCGCAGCATCAACCTCTTCTGTAACCGGTTAGTTAAAAGCAATAATATTATCATTCAGTTAAAGTTTAAGCAACGATTTTAATATATGTTTTTTCCTATATTTATTTTAAAATATTCAAAAATATAATTATTCTGTTATTTATTATTTTTTTTATAATTAAAAAAATTTTTATTTCTAAGCAAATTTACTTGCATATCCATCAAACTCTACTAATTATCACATAAAATCCGTATTTTCGACATTTCAAATTCCGAATTTCTCTTCTACTCCCCCACTGCATCGTCTCAGCAGACAGCTACCAATATCAGTTGCAATCGATGTGGCAAAAATGTTGGAATACGAATCAGCAGAATCTTGTGCAACAATTGCGGTTTCGTGAACGCGGTCCGCTAAAGTCGTGGCGTCCCGAAGCAATGGCCGAAGCCATATTCAGCGTGTTGAAGGAGGGTCTCTCGCTATCACAAGCAGCACGCAAATATGATATACCTTACCCCACTTTCGTTTTATATGCAAATCGCGTACACAATATGTTGGGACCCTCGCTGGATGGTGGCACCGATCCACGTCCGAAAGCACGCGGCCGCCCACAGCGTATTTTACTCGGCATGTGGCCCGAGGAGCTCATACGTTCGGTTATAAAAGCGGTTGTATTCAGAGATTATCGTGAAATTAAGGAGGATCTGGCACATGTTTACGCCAATGGACAAATGCAAGCGGTAAGTTTTATTGAACGAAGGTATTATTGGTAAAAAACTATACATTTTTTTTTATAAACATAATTTCAAAAATAAGAAAGTTAATCTATTTCCGTTTTTATATTTTTTGTACTTCACAGGGCTCCCCCTTTGGCGCCGCTGGTAATGCAGCAGTAGCAGCCGCTGCGGCAAATGGTTATCATAATGCCGCCAAGTTGGCCGCACAGAATGCCGCACTCGCGCCGCCCGACTCGCCCAGCCCACTTTCCACGATGACCGAAACATTGCGCCGCCAAATTATGTCACAACAACAACAATCGCCCATTTCGCAAACGATGAACATGTACAAATCGCCAGCGTATCTACAACGTTCGGAAATCGAAGATCAGGTATCGGCGGCGAATGCCAAACAACATACCGAGGCACGACGCACTTCCGACAACATGCCCGATCTGAGCGCGCTCGGCGGCCTAATGGGTATACCCGGTCTGAATGTGATGCCTGCACAAGCGGCAACGCGCGCCAATCAAATGCATCAGAGCGGCGCCAGTTATGCCAGAGAGCGTGAGCGTGAACGTGAGCGTGAGAGAGAGCGCGAACGTGAACGTGAACTAAAGGAGGCCATGCAAGCGCGCCAATATGGCAATCAATCACGCGGCTCCATCGGCGCGTCCAGCGGCAGTAGCCAGAAGATGCCGACCACAGCGACTGCGGCGGCTGATTCGGCGGCAGTAGCTTATGCGCACTACAAGAACAAAGAGCACGCTACCAATTACGCGTTCAATAAACGTTTTGCCGAAACACTACCGCCCGGCATCGATTTCGAAGCGATCGCCAATGGTTTGCTGCAGAAATCGGTGAATAAAAGTCCGCGCTTCGAAGACTTCTTCCCCAGTGAATTCTTTGGCAATGCTGAAAGTGCTGCCGGCGCTGCTGCCGCCTATCCGCCCACGCGCGAATCACCACTCATGAAGATAAAGCTGGAGCATCAAGCGAGCGCTGAAGTGCCGCATGAAGATTGAGGCGAGCGCTTGTAAGCGCAAGAGCGCTTCGAAGCGTGCGTTGAGTAGAAGCGTTAGCGTGCAGGTGTGAAGTATGCCAGGGCAGGGTAAGGCAATAATATGATATAGTAGTTGTATGCCATATAGTATATGCACATACATATATATATATATAATATATATATAAAAACACACACATACATATATATAAACATTTATAGATATTTGAGGGAAGTAGGAATTCTTTAAGAATACAATTTTTTGACTGCTATTTAACCCCAACGTATATATGTAGGCTAGTTCGTAGGTTTTAGTTATACTATATTAACATACATATACAAGCGTATTTGAACACACACAAATACAAATGCATATATGTCTATATTATATGCATAAATTTGCTTATAAGTCTAAATATGGTATACATATAATATATTATAGTTGCGATATGCAAATAAATAAGCGTGGTTTTAAGTTTTCGCTTAGTTGTAGGCTAGTGCTGATGCTATAAGCGAGCGGATAGCTGTGTGGTGCAGCTAAGTATGCTAAGCAAATATTTAGGATTTTTAATTAACATTTTTCAATAAATTTTATGTTAACTACAGAGAAAGAGACAAACAGTTTCCAGTGACTTTGAAATAAGTAAATATGTCATAGAGAGTAGGAGAAGCTTAGCGACTAGCTAACGCTAATTTCTGAATTTTTTTATCGATTTATTTCCTTACATGCATAAGATCTCGTTGTAATACACTTACATATACACATGTATACATAAACTCGTTGTAAATTTATTTATTCGCTTGGCGGCATTTCTCCTTCAAATGCGCGATTTGTATTAATGTAGCTGCGTAAATATATATAAATATAATTAATTAAAAAAAACTATATGCATTAAAAAATATTATTATTTAATTAAAATTTAATAATAAAGGAAGAGTATGTATTTATAAAACAAAGTTTTCGCAAATAATAGACTTGAACATTTTTAAATGTACGAATAGGTGTCTAAGTGTCAGTGTATTTAATAGCTAAGAATTTAGTGTGTATGTATGTGGTAGAATATATAAAACAAAATACATTTTGACACAAAAATATAAAAAGTAAGTAATTCAATTAAAGGAGAAATTAAAAAAAATATGAAAGTAAGTGAGATAATCAAGAAAATATTAAAAAAAATAAGTTATGCAACAGCAAAAAAAAAAAGTTTAACGCAAATATAAATATATTTTACTTAACTTCCAATTTGCAAATGCCTTTTTTATAGAAAAAACAAATAAATTGAATTAAAAAAAAAATTAAAATAAATCAAACATGTTTTGAGTTAAACCCAGCTGCTAAGTCTTATGAGACGGCGCCACAAATTATTATTTAAATGTAAATAATGTACAAATGAAGTTAAACATTGTAAAAAGTATAATAAAAGTAAGTTTACAAAAAATAAATAAAATATTATAAATTATACAATATAAACTTGCAAGCAAGCGCAACGCTCTTTAGTAGTTATGAGTCCAAACACACAACAGCACAAATGCATTTTCACGTGTGTGTGTGTGTGGCAGTTGCATACTTAAGCAATTGCTTGTGTTCCCCATACACACACACACACACGCACACGCACACATACTTATATGCGTTTGCAATAACTATAAAAACTCCAGAGGTATAAGTGTAATGGAAAAATGGAAAATATTTGATGAATAATTTTTTTTGCTTCGCGACTTTTGTGTTTGCTTTCAGTATATACAAACACATACCCATACATACATATATGGTATATACATATATAATAAATAAAATATGTGTAACTACTTTACATTGTATTTACTAGTTATATAGGCATAAAGTAAGCTGTAATGCATGTTGTAGAATTATATACAACAAATTAATATACATACATACATACATACAGTGTAATCCAATGATAATTACTGTAATATGATGGAGGAATAAGTCAACAAAACGTGTATGCGCAGATGCAATGACGTGAATAAATATTTTTAGTTAATCGTGAATATAAAATAAATTAATTATTTTTGTTTTATTTCAACTTGACTAAATACATACTACATATATACAAACATGTACGTATGTGCGGTGAGTATAAATAATTTTCAATTAACTTTATCCAGAAA